TATAAATAAGCATTAATAATCTTTTTGTTGACTTACAGTAATTTTGCAATGACAAATATTCCGAAATTCATATTCTGAAGCCCAAAGGTTTCTCTGCAGTCTGCTTTATGGGTAAATTTTGTTCCACGTTAAATATTTCCTATTGATGGATTTATTTTAGCTCTATGAATTATGCTAACTTTGCTAAAAAGAACAAGATGACTTAAACACCCTGCACGACATCAGTCATGTTCATCCATGTATATCAGGTTTTTTAAATGTGTGAGCTAGGTCCGTTTAAGCTCTGGGTTCAGTCCATCCCAAATACATTAATACAGACCCTCTCAGTGTGATCAGAGGTACCCTACAAAGATGTATCTGTTCTGTTAGGGTGTATAAAGAAGCTGGATACAGGTAGAGCGTGTGCAGCTATTAAATCAGGGCTTGCTGTAGCTCTTTTAGCTGCTTTTGTGTTGGTAATGCATACAGTGATGCTCCTCCTATTTCTTTCTTTGTCTACACATTTAATGTAACAGTAGGTAATTAGCATGTGTTTGCTGTGTTTGCTGTTAAATTTGTTGATTTTGTTTTTTTTCTGAATGGCTGTAGGGTGTTGAGAGTGAGAGTGCTAATGTGTATTAACAGTTTAATTAGATGCACATTGTAATGTTAAATTGTATCTGTAATATTCTTGTGTTAGTTTATAGAAGGGCAGCCTTGAATGAGCAGTCTAAAGACATTACATTTTGTTTACTGGATATTAACTCTAGCCAATAATTATTTTCATCTTGCTTCCCAGAGGAGATTGGTTATAGCTACAGACCAGAGATGGACAATTAATTTTCTCAGGAGGCCACATGAGAAACTGGAACTGTTTTGGAGAGGCGCAACAACAAACTGAACTCGATTCTACTCGATATTAATTGTATCTCTTCATAAGCTTAACAACAGTTCCAGGTTCTTATGAATCCCATTGGGAAAATTAATTGCCCACCCCTACATAAAGACAGTATAAAATATAAACATACTTTCTAGCTCTGAAAAGTGAAGCCATTGGAGAGGTTCCAATGGTCCTATGAAAGTCTATGGGAAAACGGGCCTTTCCTGAGGAGCTCATGTTTCAGTTCAAGTCAGTCTTGTAAACTTTCTCCACTGTTCGTATTATAGAGGTTTAGACAAGTGAAAGACTCCTGGTTCATTCTCGGGAGGAGACACAAATCCTTTTAGGGCTGCATGACATCTTGGTGTATATCAATACATATGTGGTTTGATGACCATTGGAACAGTTTCTGTGTTCACTCTGATTCAAACCCAGTCATTTCTTCTATAAATAGGCTGAAATAAGAGTGAAAATACTCAGTTCAGAAAGAACCAGAGTTCAATTTAAATAGACTAAATGCAGCAGGTGTGAAAACACTGAAAACACAAAACAAAATCTATATCAAAGACCACCTGACCCCTTTCAGCAGCCTACTGATCAACCGCTCAAACCACTGGATCATCCCAAGTTTTCCACTTTTCATTTTTTAGCTGCCCCACCCTAACTGATGCTGGATACACATTTATTAGACTTTATTTACCATACAGAGGGCTGGCCCTTTCAGGGCGGTCTGCTCAAGCCCTAAGATCAAGCAATGATCCTTTGGCCCTGTCCCCAGTGGATGTGGCCTGTTCTTACATTTGGTTTTGTCAGTAATCACATCACAGTCACAGCTGAGAGAACAGCAGGAGCTGGCCCATTTTGGCAAAGCCATTATTTGTTGTGTTGTTGTTTGTGTTGGTGTTGAAATCCAGTTAGTCATGTGGAGCGACATAAGCTACCATCTGACACACTCACAGACACACACACATGCACAGTTGTAGGGAGATGTGAACAGCTCAGCCACTCTGCAGAACACCTGAGTCAGCACAATAGAATCATTTTGCATCTAAATGGACCAGCAGCTGTGTGCATGTGTGGATGTGTGCATTTGTGTATGTGTATGTCTCTAACCACTCTGAATTATCCTGGTTGTGATCCTGGACTGTGTAGTATCTGTTTATTTGAAACTTAGATGTTTTAGAGAAGCTAAGCTCGTTGCGAGATAATTGTTACAGGAGCTCGGATATGTGCGCTCGTGTAAACAGCTGATGCAGGCTACTGGCCACAGTCTGCAGCCTTCAGCTGAAGTCATGTGATGTGAGTGGAACAAATGTGCTGCCAAATAATCATCTTTTTTTTTATTTTTAGATTGCATTTTTAGTCTCCAAGTCACAGAGGAGCACACGGCTTTATTTACTGCACGGACAACCGGGCTTTAATTGGAGATGGGCTGCGTGTCTTCTGTTATCATTTAAACTTAACTCACCACAGCTGCTTTTTGTTGTCAACACAAACTCCAGGCTTTCTTCATCTGTTTTATATTAAAAGCCTTGCAGTGAAGCAAGTCAGCATCGCCAGGCTTTATTGTGAAATGACAGCAAGAAAATATTTTTAAAAAGAACCCTGATTACAAAAATATATATAGCCTATTATAACATGAACGTCAGCACACACACACACACACACACACACACACACACACACACACACACACATATATGTGGTATTTAAAAAAAAGGCTACATCAGTTATTTTGTTGAACCTTTTCATTTGAATGTAAGTGTAATGTAACTGAAAAGGAAAATAGAGCAGACTTTACTGAAACAGCTATTCTACATTTCAGTTTTATTTTTTTTTATTTTGCACAACATCACAACAATAGTTGCTCTGAGGAGCTTCAATAATACTCGGTTAAAGTGGGAAGGAAAAACTCCCTTTTAACAGGAAGAAGCCTCCGGCATGACCAGGCTCCCTGAGGAGGAGAGGGAGATTGACAGACGGATTGGTGCAGCGGCTCCAGCGATGCGCACGCTGTACCGGTCTGTTGTGGTGAAGAGAGAGCTGGGTGTAAAAGCAAAGCTCTCAGTTTACTGGTTGATTTATGCCCCTACCCTCACCTATGGTTACGAGCTGTGGTTAGTGACCGAGAGAACGAGATTGCGAATACAAGCGGCGGAAATGAGCTTCCTCCGAAGGGTGGCTGGCCTCTCCCTTAGAGAAAGGGTGAGAAGTTCGGGAGGGGCTCAGAGTAGAGCTGCTGCTCCTCCACATCAAAAGGAGTCAGTTGAGGTGGTTCGGGCATCTGACAAAGATGCCTCCTGGGCGCCTCCTGGGTGAGGTTTTCCAGGTATTTCCCACCGGGAGAAGGCCCCGGGGCAGACCCAGGACACGCTGGAGAGATTATATCTCTCAGCTGGCCTGGGAATACCTTGGTGTTCCCCCAGATAAGCTGGAGGAGGTGGCTGGGGAGAGGGAGGTCTGGGTTTCTCTGCTGGCCCCAGATAAACGGAAGAAAACGGATGGATGGATGGATGTTAAAACTAATTATGAAATCTATTTGACGTGGGAAGTGGTAAATCCCAGGTTTCCAGTCAAAATTTTTAGTTAGTCAGACTTCTCACTGCAAAAGTTGGAGCAGCTACAATCGAATAATCCAAGATGGAATCAGTGAGCATACGTGGTAGTGAAACTGTAGAACTTCTTGACCTAATCTATGATACTAGTTAGGGCTGTGCGATATGACCAAAATCTCATATCCCGATATTAATACTTCTATCGTCCAATAACGATATAAATCACAAAAATGTAACATTTTCTGTAAATTCTGTGAATCTTGGGCAGCTCGACTTGCGTGAAGTGTTTCCAGCTGCGCGTTGCGTACCTGGAGTCGAGTGTTTTAACTGATGCACGAAACTATACATTTTTAGACATAGGTTGTAACAGCCGCCGTTTTCTTTGTGAGTATTTATTACACAGCGTGCTGCGGGGAAGAGCCTGTTCTAATGTTTGAGTCTAAGGTTTCTTTTTTAGCACCTGGCGGCTCTTTTTTGCTTCTCAACCGTAAATACTCTGCATCTTTCACGTGATTCAGTTTATTTTGAAAAGTCTCAACAGGATCTTGAGCTTTATTGTGAAAGGTTTATGTGGAAAATAAACAAGCGGACACGCGGTGGTTTTACCGTCGTTGTTGCTAACGACAACGCATAAAAACAAGTGCTTGTCTGTCTGTAGTTTGGTTATATTAAATATAAGAGAAAGAGAGAACTTTAAGAAATTAATATAGCCACTACAGTGACCATCAAAATAATGAAAAAAATATTGCTGTAAACAGTTTATTTTGCGACACCACGAAACAAACGATAGCATAAAATGAAACGATAAACATTTTTATATCGTCATTCGATATATATCGTTATATCCAACAGCCCTAATACCAGTCTATAAATACTGGCCTCTGCACTTCTGCTGGTCAACCTACAGCTGCATTCAGACAGTGTTGGGGAGTAACGGAATACATGTACCGCCGTTACGTATTTAAAATACAAAATATGAGTAACTGTATTCCGTT